GCTAACTGACACGTAGACTACGTTACAGGGACTCGGCAGAGGAGTACGCGAAGCAGAGGATCAAACCAGAGACTGCCAAGATAAGGAAGCAGACAGCACCCAATCAGAACGGCAAAAGAAAAAAATAGTAATCCAAGTACATGAGGGCAGATTAAGGAGCCTCTGGGACCACTTCAAGCGTACCAACATTCACATCATGGGGGTGGCCAGAAGGAGAGAGAGAGCAAGGAATTGAAAACCTATGTGGAAAAAAACAACAACAGAAAACTTCCCTAACCCGGTGAAAGAAATAGACATAAAAGTCCCGAAAGCGCAGAAAGTTGCAAACAAGATAAACCAAAACAGTCCCATACCAAGATACATCATAATTAGAATGCAAAATGTTAAAGACAAAGAGAGAATCTTAAAAACAGCAAAGGAGCCCTGGCAGGTGAGATTGAGTGCTTAGAGCCTTGGCCCATGCACCGACGGGTTGCAGGTTTGATGCCTGGCCTCATCCATGGCGCATGCGGGAGGCAAATGTCGCTGTGTCTTTCTCACGTGGATGTCTCTGTCTCTGTCTCTCCTTCTCCCTCTCCCTCTCTCCCTCCCTCTCTATCGAGAAATATCAGTGGAAAAATATTAAATGGTCTTCTTTAAGAAGAAGGGAGAAAAAAGATTAAAAATACGAATAATAAAATGGTAATATATAACTATCAACAATTATTTTAAATGCAAACAGATTCAATGCTCCAATCAAAAGACATATGGAGGTGTAGTGGGTAACAAAATAAGACCCTTACATGTGCTGTCTATAAGAGACTCACTTTAGATCAAAAGACACACACAGACTGAAAGTAAATGGATGGGAAAAGGCAGTTCATAAAAATGTAAACAAACAAAAAGCTGGGGTAGCAATACTTATACCAGACAAAATAAACTTTAAAACAAAGGCTATATAACATGAGATAAAGAAGGACCCAGCAACTCCACTTCTGGGTATTTATTTGAAGAAACCCCAAACACTAAATCGAAAAGACATATACATCCACATGTTCGTTGCAGCATTATTTACAATAGCCATGATATGGAAGCAACCTAAGAGTCCATCAACAGATGAATGGATAAAGGATAAATGGAATATGACTCAGCCATGAAAAAGAATGAAATCTTGCCATTTGCAACAACACGGATGGACCTAGAGGGTATTGTGCTGAGTGAAATAAGTTAGGCAGAGAAAGAAAAATGTCTATGATTTCACTTATATGCGAAATCTGAAAAACAAAATAAACACACAAGCAGAACAGAAATAGACTCATAGACACAGAGAACATTTTGATGGTTGCCAGGTGGGAGGGGGCTGGGGAATGGGTGGAAAGGTGAAGCGATTAAAAGTACCAATTGGTGCCCTGGCCAGTTTGGCTCAGCGGTTAGAGCATCGGCCTGCGGTCCAGAGAGACCCGGGTTCGGTTCCCGCTAAGGGCGTGTACCTTGGTTGCTGTTTGTCCCTGGCCCTGGTTGGCCGTGTGGGTGGCAGCCACTCGATGTGTCCCTTTCACGTTGATGTTTCTCTCTCACTCTCTCTCTCTCCCTCTCTTCCTCCCACTCTATCTGAACAAAAAATGGAAAAAAATGTCCTTGGGTGAGGATTAAAAAAAAAAAAGTACCAATTGGTAGTTACAGAATAGTCATGGGAATATAAAGTACAGCATAGGGAATACAGCCCATGATACTGTAGTAAGTGTGTATGGTGTCAGATGGTTCTAGATTTATCAGGGTGATCACTTAGTAAGTTATGTAAATGTCTAATCACTGGGTTGTATACCTGAAACCAATATAATACTGTTGTATGTCAACTGTAATTAAAAAAAAAAAAATACTACTGTCCCATTGGGAGAGAAACTCCCACAGGTTGAGATGCCGGCCAGGTCCACGCACAAAGTCGGAAGTGCCGTGAACTCCGACAGAGGAAGTCAAGGTCCTGCGTTCAGACGGCACAAAGACGGGCAAGGCGTGCTCCAGGCCCAGGAGAACAGATTGTCCTTACTCCTGACCTCTGAGGTTTTATCGGGAAAGCAAAGGACATCAAGAAAAGAGTCAGTGTCTTCATTGAGATCTAGTAAATGTCAGCATGGTAAATATCAGGAGTTGCTTAGTCTAGAAGTGACACAGCAGTTGTGGGATAATAAAAGTACAAACTTTTAAAACCAAGTTTTCAGCATAACTGCAATAATCCACCCAAAGGCCACTTCCTAGAAAGTCCCAAATGTGCATATAAAAAACTACCCTTATTAGAGTCAGGACTGGGAATCGCTTTCAAAAGTATCCAGTCTAGCTGCAGCTCTAGAAACGGTCTTGTACAAATGGAAACGAAAGGACAGTTTGGCGATGAAGCTGTGTCTCTCTCTTGCTCCTCAGGAATGAAGGGTGTTAGAGAAATAGAGGTAAATGGAGTCATTGCAACTTCACTCCAGGTTCAAGGCTCCCCCCAGGGCTGGCTGTTCTGGTGCTTTTTTGTTTGTTTTTAAATATATTTTTATTGATTTTTTAGATAGAGAGAAAGGGAGAGAGATACAGAAACATCAGTGTGAGAAGAAACATCAGTCAGCCACCTCCTGCACACCCCCTACTGGTAATCGAGCCCACAACCCTGACATGTGCCCTGCCTGGAATCGAACCAGGACCTCTCAGTCCATGGGACAATGCTCAATCCCCTGAGCCACCCGGGCCGGGCCGTTCTGGTGTTTTATTCGCCTTCCACTGCAGCTCAGGAGCCGGAAGCTCAGCTGCATCCGAGGGTTTATCCAAAGTGAGCTACTGATCTTTTGTTGTCATAAGACCATCATGATGCACAAAGTACAGCAGGATTTCAATGCAAGTGACCTTCTGCCTGGGATGACCCAGCACCTTCAAGGAGTAATGACTGGAAAGGTCACAGCCCTAACTGTGGCAGCACTGTTCTCACTCCACAGGGACTGCTCTGAGCAAAGGCGACACGAATGCCCCGCCCAGCTGAGTGTTCGCGGCACAGGTACGGCAGGGTCTGCGCTGCGCCACCCGTAGGGCTTCTGCACTCCTGCCCTTCGGCTCCAGCCCCGTCTGCAGGTGGAGCTATCACTCACACCAGAAGAGAAGAAGAAAAAAGCACCTGCCCCTTAAACCTCTGCCGAGGATCACTATCTTCTGCCATGCAAGAAAGCAACAATTCCCACTGAACCGAAACAAAACGATTGTGCCTTCATGTACCATCCTCAGAACTTAGCACTGTGAAAAGAAGCTGTTCTCCAGATTTGATTTGATTCCCCTGACCCAGTCAGGGTACAAGTGGTTAATCCACAGCACCTGGCACAGTGCCCTGGGACAAAAGACCAGGAGAGGCAAAGCTCCTTCTCTCGTACCTACAACTCACTAACTCAGAGTTGACAGGTACAAATAACGGCTTGTGATCATTTACGTTGAGACATGAGAATCATGGGCTCCTAAGCCCTCTTCTGTCTCCTCTACTTCCATCACCTACTGCTTCCAATGGTCTGCTTCCGGGTGGGTAAACTGAGGCAACAAAAGAAAAAAGAATAAGTCTCAACTGTCCTACTGGAAAACAGCAGTTTTGGTACAAGTTGGATGACGTCAGATTGAAAAGGACTGAAATGAAGCTTGGGCATTATCAGTGGGCGCCCTGTCCCGTCCTCTCTCCTGCCCAGCTGTGTTACTTTCATGTGCTGCCATGTACAAATGCCACAAAGATGCCAAAGTCTGGCCCGTCACCAGGGTTACATCGATCAGGAATGTGAAACAGGAGGAGGCGGCTCTTTGTGACGGCAGGAAGGAGACAGTCCTGGGGGATCAGCCATCTTCTTACACACAACTTTCAAAACGAACACCTAAGTTCAAGGTTCTCATGGGCTCCTTTGCGATCTGCCAAAGTCTATCTGACACCTCGGCCAACGTTCAGGGCCCCGCACACAAGGCCAAGCTCCCGGCCCAGCTTCCCCTCACACCACACCCCTGAAAGCATTCACGTTCCAGGGCCTCGAGTGAGTCACGATCCCCCACAGCTGCCACACGATGCCTCATCTCGTGATCTTTCTCCATCTGGAACTCCTCCATCGTCACCTGTCAAGATTATTCCGAGCCCACATCAAGTACCACCTTTACTGAAGAGGCATCTGCACAGGCCCGAGCATCTTGCACATCCTTGCTGAGCAGGCCAAACTGCACGGTGTAACCACCCCTGACCTTAGCCACACTGGGGCTGGTCACATAGGCAGTGAAGTCAGTCAAGGTGGAGCAGCGAGGCCACCACGCACCTGCACAGAGCACGGGCTGTTGGTTCTAGCTGCTCAGGGTGCCGAGCTCTTGGCCGGAGGACCCCAGTGGAACAGCCCACCAGTGGGCCCATCACACAGCTCCGCAGAGCTTGGGGGCAGGGAACCCGCACCACCAGGCTGATGCTTCTGTTGTCTGCTGTGCTATGAGTGGCAATGACTTAGCTCTGGTCAGGTGGGACTTGTGTCTACTTTTGCTTCTATGGAGCTGGGTCAAGATGGTCTGTTGCTTGCAGAACGCTTTCCTTCAGAGTCTGTTGACCCCTTGCTATCCTATGCACCGGGTGCTTCCTTGACAATCCAGAATAACGAGAGGCTATGAGTTGCTGGCCCGCTCAGCCCTCCCTGTAGCTGCTCGACCGCCTGCTGTGGTTATCGGGTCATTCACACAACTTCTGTAAGAGCCCCAGCTCCCCGAAGGCAGGAAATCAGGTGCTCACAGAGATGAGTTTTGCACATACGTACTGAATAAATAAATGAATGGATGAATAAGCGAGTGAGGAAAGGCCTAGAGAGTTCTTGGAATTTTATAACTACTCAGTCACCTCTAATTTTTTTGACATTCTTCATATCCCACTGAAGGGGGCCTTGCCTAACTCATAACACCCGGCATTCTCGCAACAAAACAAGCTTCTAGAATAGTAGTAAACGGGCGAATCAGAGGAGACGCGTGCACCGTCCGGCGCACAGACTTACGGAGGTGTCCGCGCTCTGCCACACGTGGGAAATCCGGTAGCCCACCAGGTCCCCGTCCTGCCGCTCGATCGGAGGCTTGATCCAGCTGACGTCCACCTTGTTACTAGATTCGTTCAGAAACACAGTGACGTTCAAAGGCGCTACCGATGGGGCTAAAAGGACAAGGAGAGAAGGGTGAGCCGCAAAGAAAGCACACGGAGGCTCTTCCCTTCTCGGTTCGGAATGCTTGGGGTTCGATGATTCTTGGAAAGCACTCAAATGAGACTGAGACGGAGGGCGATTCCCACCCGCTTTTCCACGGAGGGCCCCTGAGAGAGTGCATGAGTTCTAGAAAGTCGGTCCTTTCCAAACTCAAAGAACAAGACGTGGCGGCGCCCGTGGACTTCTCCTGGGGCAGCAAGCAGACACGCTGAACAGGGTTCTCCAAGGGGAAGCAGCCTTCGGGGCGGACGGTCGACCGCACCGAATGGACAGCGGTGTGTGTCTCAGGAGAGCAAGGGCGGGAGCTCGGTGCCGCTCAGAAGGAAGCCACCACTTTAAAGCCCAGAGGCAGGTGACTGAGGGTCTGAACAGAACTCATCAGTCAGGAAATTACTACATGTGTGTAAGACACTGTGTTACTGGAGATCAGGGATCTATGTTAATTTCTGGGCTACGTGTAAAATGTAGCATTTAGCATTGGTTTTCACTGTCTGGTAAAGTCACATACTCACTTTATAGCTCTCACAAAGACACAGGACAATGATAGTCAAAGCACTTTGGAAAAGAAAGTATGTATGTATGTATATATGTGTGTGTGTATGCACGTGTGTGTGTGTGTGTACATATAAAACTTAATTTGGAAAACAGGTCAAGGTCATTACTACATTCTTTTTTTGGAAGGGAGGAGCTTGACTCTATTTTAAAACTGAAAATAATATGTTCTTTGACCAAGAATTTTATTTCCAGAAATGTAATCTACAAAAATTCTCCTGTGGGTGGCATTATATTTATTGAACAAAATAGAGACAAAAAGGAATAAATATAATGCTCAGTCAATATATGTGCTATAATAAATTTTGATACATTTTCCAATAGAATACTTACAATCCAGCCGGTGAAAAGAAAGTAGGTAGATCATGTGTACTGATGTGAAAAATTATCTGATGAAGGTAAAGATCAGATTGCTAACAAGTATGCATCAATGACTCATTTTAGAAATTTAAAAGCTGTTTTACATAGAGAGAAAAAATAAAGACAACTGGAATAATATATACCAAAATTGCCTGTACTTGTATTTAGGGAAGAACAAATAATATATTTCTGATACATCTGAAAATAAAACAAAAGGGTCCTGGAGTCTTCCTCGTCTCTGCTGATTCCAGGAGCAGCTGGAAGGAATCTCAGCATGGGACACATGACGCACAGATGAGCTGTACCTAGGAAATGATTCACAACTTTCAAATCTGCTGTAGGATTCGTGGACAAACGTGGCCGACTCGACGTGTCTTTACACCTGCTCCCTCCTGAGACCCCTCTATGATGACAGGAAGAAATTTAAAACAGTATAAATGCATCAGGTAAAGAGGAGTCAACCGTGAAAGAGAAATTTCAACGTGTATTTGACAGAGACAAAGGTGTCATTAACTCAGCAAGCTGATTCTCCTGAATGCACCTGCCGAGGCTCAGCAGCTGTGGTCCAGGTACTAAGATGGGAAGACTGAAAGTCTGATCAGGAAGTACTTAGTCCTTGAAACTCCTCTAACCTATTCCCACATGCCTGGCAGGGGCTCCCACAGGGGACAGGATACCTTATCCTAACAGATAAGCCTCTGGACTCGGGCACCAGCAGAATGGAGGCCTGATGAGGGGCCAGACTGACAAGCGGGGAAACAAGTGGAAGTTTGAGTCCTGGAGGAGGAGGAGGAGGACTCCACCTCACCTGTCCTCGTCACCTGGCTGCCATGTTGCTATTCATGAGGCAGCGAACAGGAGACTTCTAGAGAAAGCCAGCGGTCTCAGAGGAAAGCAAACCAATACTGCCACTTGGGGTATCCTACTCTAAACACATCATCGCCCACTCACCTGACAGGGACGTCATGAACCCCACCCACACTCAAAGATCAGAATTCTCCACAAGTCACGAAGCTAAAAAACAACACAGAAATACTTCCAAATTCTGAGGGAAAACAATTTCCAACATAAAATTCCATGTTAGGAAATATTATCAATCTCGCATGACAAAGACTTGCAAGTTCCATTGGGTTTCTATTTTACACACACTGTCCCTGGAGCTAGCGGATGGGGCAATGCGCTCTATGAAAAGGAGGGAGGAGGCCAATGAAGACAAATGTCTAAGAGAAGGTCGTGAGTCACTGGGATGCCTCCAGATGGAGAGAGGAAAGGAAATACATGAAAGAATGAAAGATAACAGTGCCTGGGCCTCACTCAGGGCTGGAACAGTACTCTGTTCTTCACTATCAGACTGGGAAATCTATGCTTTAAGCAGCTCTGGGCAGAGCACACATAATGTGCTGGTCTCAGGAGGCTGAGCACTGTTCTCATCCTGCTTCAGATGATCCCAAAGGATCACACTTTTCCCATTAGCTTAACAATATCCCAAAACAAAGCTGAGCACTCACAGGAACATAATACCTAGCATCCCATAAGGTTAAATTCACAATGTCGGGAATCCAATAAAAGATCGTCCGCTATGCAAAGAAACTGCCAAGTCCTCTACATAACAGGAATATAAATCAATCAAAACTGCCCCAGAAATAACACAGATGACAGAATTAGCAAGAACACTAAAACAGTTATAATTGCATTCCATATGGTCCAAAAGTTAAGTCAAAACATGAAAGATACAAAAACTATGTGAGAAATGAAATATACACTAGATAGAATTAATGACAGATTAGATACCACACAAGAAAAGACCAGGTAAGGTCGAAAACACAATAGAAACTATCCAAAATTAAAAAAAAAAAAAAAAAGAAAAGTAGGGGGAAAAAACTAACAAACTATCAGTGAGTTATGAGGCAACTTCAAGTGATCAAACATAAGTGTAATTGGAGTCCTCTAAAGACGAGAGCTGGGAAGAGAAAAAAGTATTTGAAAAGTAATGGCTAAAATGTTCCCAAATTGGATGCAAACCATAAACACATAGATCCAAGAAATCCAATGAACCCCAAGCACAAGTAATATTTTTTTAAATTACACCACAGCACATCACAATTAAATTGCTCAAAGTCAACAATAAAGGTAAAACCGGAGACAAAACACATGCGGATACATTACATATCGAGGAACAAATAAAGATTAGATTTATAGATTTCTCATCAGAAATACGCATGAAGACAGTAATGCAATAGTTTTGAAGTAATGAAAGTAAAAAAATGTGCACCTAGAATTCTATATCTAGTAAAAATATCTTTCAAAAACAAAGGCAAAAGAAGTATCAAAGGTTAAATAAAATTTTTTCTTAGACACACAAAAGGTCAATTCCTCACCAGGTCCACACTACAAGAAATAATGAAGGTCTTAAGACGGAAAACGATACTGCATGAAAATGTGGACCCACACCAAAAACTGAGTACAATTAGAAATGGTAACTTTATGAGTAATTATATGTATTTTTTTCTAGTTATATAAGTCACCCTAAAAATTACTGACTATTTAAACAAAAATAATAACCACGTGGCATGGATTTATAACATGCAAAGTAAAATGGATAATAATTGTGCAAATATCAGGTGAAGAAATGAAAGTAGCATACTACTCGAAGGTTCCCACATGAAGTGCTATAGCATCACTTTAAGTGATGAGTTAAACATGCACACTATTAACCCTGAAGCAACCACGAAAAAACCCAGAAAACAAGTTATAACCTAATCAGCAAACAAAGAAGATAAAAGAGAATAAAAATATTCAATTAACACAAAAGAAAAAGAGAAAAAACTACAGATAGAACAAATAAAAATGTGACAGATTTAAACTTAAACTTTAAACCTAAAGTTTCAAGATGTAAAAGGAATTTGCTATAAGCAAGATAATATGAATAATCCTATTACATTTTAACAAATTAAATACCCCCATTTTTTTTTTTTAATCCTTACCCGAGGACATTTATCCATTTTTTTGTTCAAATAGAGTGATAGGAAGAGAGAGAGAGAGAGAAACATCGATGTGAAAGGAACACATCGAGTGGCCGCCACCCGCACGACCAACCAGGGCCGGGGACAAACTGCAACTGAGGTACATGCCCTTAGTGGAAACCGAACCCGGGTCTCTCTGGACCACAGGCCGATGCTCTAACCGCTGAGCCAAACCGGCCAGGGCTAAATACCCCAATTTAAAGGTGGAAATTGTGAGTGAATTAAAAAACCAGACCAAAGTATATGCTCCCTAAGAGAAATACATTTTGAATATGAAGATAAAAATACATTAAAAATAAAATGGCTATTACAATATCAGACAAAGGAGACTTCACAGAAGATAATACTACCAAGGATAAAGAAAATAATTTCATAATGATAAAGCAGTCAATTTATTAGGAGAGTATAGCAATATTAAATATTTACGCACAAAATAACAGAGCTTCAAAACATTTAAACCAAAAATCCTGTTGGAGAAGTGCAAATAGAAATAGATAAATCCACAGTTATAACTGCAGATATCAATGCTTATTTCTAATTTATTGATAGAAGTAGGTAGAAAACCAGTAATAATACCATTTGAAAAGCAATCAATCAACTCCGGTTCGATTCCTGGTCAGGGCACATGCCCAGGTTGTGGGCCCGATCCCCAGTGGGGGGCATGCAGGAGGCAGCCAATCAATGTTCTCTCTCATGGATGTTTCTATCTCCCTCTCCCTTCCTGTCTCTCCAAAATCAATAAAGGAAAATAAATTAGAAATCAATACATAGATCTCCAGAAAACTCCCAAGTATTTAGAGACTAAATTAACACACCTAAATAACTACTGGGTCAAAGAAGAAATCAAAGTATTTTGAACTCAATGAAAATGGAACACAGCACACACAAACTGTTGTCAAAGGTTTTCTTTCTCACTTGAGAAAGGGCGGTATTTCACAATGTTGGCACCATTTGTGCGGATTAAGCCCTCACACTGTCTGCACTAAGACCGATCACTGATTGTGTGAGGATGGAGTCAAGGGCACCCCCGAGGTTCTGAGTGATCTAGAGTTCTAATTAGGAAAGAATGAAAACTGTGTGACTTGAATATAACAGAACTACGATATTTATTCCCCTACTCATAGAAAAGAAAAAATATCTAAGAATTCAACAGCAGCCACAGAAAAAGTCTTTAAAGTTTAAAGATGTAAACAAAATTCACTATGAGACGGATAACAGAGATAATAGCACCTACTCGATAGGGCTGCTGTGAAGATCTAATGTCTGTAAAGCACCTAATCTGGTTCTAGGCACACGGTACGTGAACATTAGCCACCTTCAAATTCATTAGTTTTCTGCTATAATAACTTTATATTACATTTTTATTAAAAATGATATGCTATAAAGAGTGCACTGCTATTATCTTCTTATGCAAAAAAAAAAATATTACCTATATGTAGTTTATCAGTTTCCTCCCCATTTTCACTGGCCACCTCAATAAAAACTCTCCTCCAGAGACAAGGACCAAAGAAAGCAAAATTTAAAGTCTAAATCAGGCCACCGGGAAGGACTTGTTTAATCACATGCATTCGAGCAACGTTCTGAATGCCAGGAATTACCTCCTTCGGTGGTGCTGGCCAGGACCCAGGGGCTCCAGGTGGACCAGCCAATCTCGTTCCTGCAGGACACGCCGATGCTGTAATTCGCCAGAGCTCGCAGCTGCTCGATTTGATACCGAGGTGGCGAAGCAGAGGTGTTAAAAATCATGACAGAGCCATTACTCAGAGGATCGACTTCCTGGACCTAAGTGGAAAGTGAAGATGCGGACCCGGCATTAGTAAGGTGGTGGGAATGTCAGCCGTGGGGCTCACAGGCGGCCCCTGCGCGGCCCTTCCTCTCCGCGGAAGGGAAGTGCCGGCTTCCTTCCACGCCGCACACCAGTGTCCCTGCCAGCGTTACCGAGTGTTACTCATGCTGCTGGGCAACAGCTGAGGACCCGAGGAAAGGCCTAGAGTAAGTGTTCTCACTGTGGCAGGTAACAGAGCAAACACTTACCATTCTGTTACAATTTTTTTTTTTTTTTTTTATCATCACCCGAGGACATTTTTCCATTTTTTGTTCAGGTAGAGTGGGAGGGAGAGAGAGGAACAGAGAGAGAGAGAGAGAAACATCGATGTGAAAGGGACACATCGAGTGGCTGCCACCCGCACAACCGACCAGGGCCGGGGACAAACTGCAACCGAGGTACGCGCCCTTAGCGGGAACCGAACCCGGGTCTCTCAGGACCGCAGGCCGACACTCTAACCGCTGAGCCAAACCGGCTAGGGCTATGTTACAATTTTTAAACCGCATATCATGAACTAGCCCCTCCTTTCTCAGAACCCTCTCAAGTCTCTATTTCTTTCAGCTGTTGCACAGAATAGACATCAAAGTCAACGACATGGGGTGGCAAAGCCTAAAATATTTACTCTCCAGAGCTTTAAAGAAAACCTACCTCAAATCCCACTTTAGAAGATGGGATACTGGATTTTGTTCTAATCTGTATTTCTTTCTTTCTTTTTTTTGTTCATCCTCACCTGAGATATTTTTTCATTAATTTTTTAGAGAGAGCATGAAAGGGAGTGAGGGAGAGAGAAAACATAGATGTAAGAGAGACACATGGATTGGCTGCCTCCCGCACGGCCCCAGTAGGGACCAGGGAAACCAGCAACACAGGCACCTGCCCTTGACTGGAATCAAACCCGAGACTCTTTGTTCTGAGGGCCGGTGCTCTAACTAACCCCTGAGCCAAACTGGCCAGGGCTCTTTTTTTCATCCTCACCAGAGGACATTTTTGCATTTATCTTCAGATGGGGTGTGGGGGAGAGAAACATCGATGTGAGAGAGACTGGTTGCCACCCACATGACCCCAACTGGGGTCGGGGACAAACTGCAACCAAGGTACATGCCCCTAGTGGGAACCAAACCCGGACTCTGGTCGGCAGGCCAACGCTCCAACCACTGAGCCAAACCAGCCAGGGCGGCCAGGGCTCTTTTTTTAAAAAAATTATCTTTATTGTTTTAAGTATTACAGATGTCTCCCCTTTTTTTCCCCCACTGCTCCCTCCATCCCACTCCTGCCCCCCCCCCAGGCCTTCACTGCACAATTGTCTGTGTCCATGAGTTATGGATATATGCATATAAGTTCTTTGGTTAATCTCTTCCTGCCCCCCGCCCCCTTCCTTCTGAGATTCATCATCAGTCTGTTCCATGAGTCCATGTTTCTGGATCTATTTTTTTCTTCTTTTTTTGTACGTTCCCCTGGTGGGAACGGAACCCGGGACTCCCTGGTCCACAGGCTGATGCTCCAACCGCTGAGCCAAACCGGCCAGGGCTCTGGATCTATTTTGTTCATTAGTTTATTTTGTTCATTAGATTCCACATAAATGAGATCAAGTGATACTTGTCTTTCTCTAATTGGCTTATTTCACTTAGCATAATGATCTCCAGGTCACTCTATGCTGTCTCAAAGGGTAAGAGATCTTTCTTTCTTACAGCTGCATAGTACTCCATTGTGTACATGTACCACAACTTTTATATCCACTCATCTGTTGATGGGCAACTTAGATTGTTTTCAGATCTCAGCTATTGTAAATAGCACTGCTATGAACATAGGGGTGCATATATTCTTTCTGATTGATTTTTCGGGTTTCTTAAGATATATTCCTAGAAGTCTCATCACTGAAAAGGGAACCCACTGTATGAGAGAACATATGCCAATGATACATCGGATAAGGGGTTAATATCCAAAATATATAAATAACTCATATAACTTAACAAAAAAAGACAAACAATCATTTAAAAAAGGGCAAAGAACAAAATAGATACTTTTCTCCAAAGAGGACATACAGATGGCCAACAGACATATGAAAAAAATGTTCAAAGTCACTAGTCATCAGATAGATGCAAATTAAAATGACTATGAGGTATCATCTTAATCTGTCAGAATGGCTACCATCAATAAATCATCAAACAACAAGTGTTGGCGAGGGTGTGGAGAAAAGAGAACCCTAGTACACTGCTGGTGGGAATGCAGACTGGTTCAGTCACTATGAAAAACAATATGGTGTTTCCTCAAAAACTTAAAAATGGAACTGCCATTTGACCCAGTGATCTGCATTTCTTTTCACTATATAACCTGAGGACATTTTGCTCTTCCTTGAAGAGAATTTTAGCATTGTCCATTATTCTTTATTTTTTCAAAAGATTTTTAAATTGAATTTTAGAGAGAGAGGAAGGAAGAGGGGGGAAAGGAAAGAGAAAGCAAGCGAGCGAAACATGGATGTGAGAGCAAAACATCAATCAGCTGCCTCCTGCATGCCCCTTACTTGGGACCGAGTCCGCAACCCCGGCACGTACCCGGACCGGAATCCAATTGGCAACATTTCAGTGCACAGGACGACGCCCAACCACATCAGCCAGGGCACATTAGCCATTATTCTTTCCTCCGCTCTACCCCAATATAAATTCACTCCAAAAGCATACACCGATAATGCAGATTTTATAATATCTTTTTGGTGGGGAGACATCAGAAAGGGTCATTTGCACCTCACCCAGCAAACTTTTCTCCAAATCTCTCTGAATATCAGCTGTTCCTCTGAGTTCCTTCTCTTCATCCTTTCCTCCATAAACCCTAACCCTCCCACACCCCTCTCCACGTGTCCTTGTGTGCACAGGCCAGAGACAGGTTCCCAGCAGAAACCTCCACCTTTTCCTTACGCACACCTCCGCCTGGGAATGAGGAGGTGGGAAAGTGGGTATTTTCTCACCCCATGCTTTTCAAAATTTCTATAACATGGACTACTTATAAAGTCAGAAAAGACAAAGTGATATTGAATAAAAAAAAAAAAAAAAGCAAACCAAATGCAACTTGGGAAGAAAAATCTTATATTCCTGATGATAATGGGCTAGCCATCATGGGATGTGGATACACAGTGCTGTCATTTCAGGATACAGGTGTTGAAATTTAGGCCGAGGGGCTACAGATACCATGTTGGAGTCCCAAATCTGCTGAGTGACACCGAGCCAGTGAGGACAAGCCTCCCCTCCAAGACGGAGACTCCACCAGAGGAAGACAAGCACCAGTGGGCTCGAGGAGCCACCGGAGGAGCAACCGTGAGCAACATGTTCATCTGGGTGGTGGCTGTTGGCAGAATTCACTTTGCTTCTTCACTTCAAAGTATGCAGCTCCTTCCTGCTGACCGACCACGGGAACTAAGGTGAACGTGGTGCTCCACCCAAGGTTTGGGAGCCACGTGCGGGGCATTTCCAGGCGCAAGAAGCTCTTTGAGAGCACGTTCCTGGAAGAAGCCGGGGTTTGTAACAGTGTAACAGTCCTTCTCAGTGGGTCCTGGGGGAAAAGAGGGAATGAGAGGGCCAGGAGCACGTGGGAGAGCTAAAAATACACATGGAGTCTGGAGCCCAAAAATGGGTGAAGAAAGGAATTCACGCCGGGACCACAGGAAGTGACAGGGCGTGTCCCGCTGCAGCGTGGATCTGAATGTCGGCCAGACATTTGTTACCAAGTCAGAGTTTAGAACCTGGACTGGCACACTGCTACAAAACTATCCTTGGCCCCTTCGCATATGGAAATACATTGTTCATCTGCAGGCTATACGTTATAACTTCTCAAGCCAGCCCTGACTAATCCTGTTAGGACCACAGGAGAAAATACAGAACCCAGTTATAGCTGAATTTCAGATCAACCACAAATAACTATATTTATAGGTACGTCACAACGTTACTCGTGTAATTTAATTTGTAGGATAACTTTTTTCTTAGCTGCTAAATCCGACAAAGACAGAATAACCACGGTGGTGCCACAGGATCCTGTGGGCGAAGCAGGCTGCCATCTGGTGCTCACGGGATGACTGCTCACTCCGGCCAGGGCCACCCAAAGCCAAGGCAAAGAGACAGAGCAGGTGAAACTCGTGTGTCATCACCTCCCACCTTCAGGGCGACCTGGTGTTTTCTGACCTTCCAACTACCCCATTCTGCTTCATGTCTGTCCTGAGACCCCCCCTCGTCAAGGCGGGTCAGCTCTTCCTCAAAGTCCCCTGAAGGCAACTGTCCTTGTGTGGAAGGAGCCTCGTGTCCTCTTAGACTCTTCAAACAGCTCAGCAACTGGGTAACAGTTTATAAAGGGCTGTCCATGCTTCAGTTATGTCCCTCTACAGGGATAGTCATGGCCCCACAATGGGAAACAGACTGTGGTAGGTCCCAACAACAGCGCCCTGAAATACATGAAGCAAAAATTGATAGAACTGAAGGCAGAACTAGACAATTCAAAAATAAGAGCCGAGACCTCAATTCCCCACTTTCCATAACCGACAGAACCACCGGGCAAAAGATCAACAAGGAAAGAGAAGAACTGAACAAAACCAGAAACGAACTCCACCTGACAGATGTAGACACCCCGCCGTGCCCCAGCCAGAGCCCCTCCCCCTCCGTGCACGTGGAGTGTGGTGTAGGCCAGAACTCATGCTTGGCCTCAAACAAGCCTTGATACACTTAAAAGGATGGAAATCATACCAGTGTGTCCTTACTCAATGGAATAACATTAACAAGGAAAGAACATTTAAGAAATTCACAACCATGTGGAAGTTAAACAACACATTCCTAAATAACTAATAGAAAAAGAAGAAATCACATGGCAAGTGACAAAAAAAACTTGAGCTGAACTAGAAAAACACCAGAACAATACCAAACTTAGGGGTGCAGCTAACGAAGGGCTCACAGGGAAAGGAATGGTATATATGCCCATATTAAAAAAAGAACAAATTGAAAATCAAGCACCAACCTTCTACTTTTAGAAACAACAAGAGCAGCCCTGGCCGGTTTGGCTCAGCGGTTAGAGAGCCCACCTGCGGTCCGGAGAGACCCGGGTTCAGTTCCCGCTAAGGGCATGTACCTTGGTTGCAGTTTGTCCCCGGCCCTGGTTGGTCGTGCGGGTGGCAGCCACTCGATGTGTCCCTTTCACATCGATGTCTCTCTCTCTCTCTCTCTTCCTCTCTTTCCCTCCCACTCTGTCTGTACAAAGAAATGGAAAAATGTCCTCGGGTGAGGATTAAAAAAAAAAAAAAAAATAGAAACAACAAGAGCAAACGAAGCCAAAGCAAACAGAAGGAAAGAAGCACAGATTAGGGCAGAAATGAGTGAGGTAGAGAACATAAAAACTCACAAAGGTGAAAGTTGTTTTTTTGCAGACAATAAAATTGACAAATATTCAGCTAGACTGACAAAGGATAAAAAAGGGGGAAGACTCAAATGATTAAAATATGGAATGAAAGAGGGGTCATTACTACTAGCCTTAAAGAAAGAACATAAAATTATAATTGGATATTATGAATAACTGTATACCAACAAATTACAGTATATAACCCAGAGGAAATAGACTAATTCCTAGAAACATAGAAACTACCAGAAGTGACTCAAGAAGAAACAGAAATCTGAAAAGTTCGAGCAAGTAATAAAAAAACTTCCCACAAAAAAAAAAAAAAAAGCTCCGGACCAGATTGGCTTCTCTGGTGATTTCTACCAAACATTTAAACAATGTACAGCAATCTTTCACAAATTCTTCCAAGAAACAGAGAAAGAGGAACACCTTCCAACCCACTCTATGAGACCAGTATCATCTAGATACTGAAACCAGAAGAAGCAGTAAGAAAACTACAACCCAGCATCACTAACGTACACAGACACAATTAGACATTGGCGATGGTTGCCCAACTCTGAGTAAACTAAAAACCACTGACTCGTACACTTTACATGGGTGAATATATGTAAAATAGATCTCCAAAATAAAGCTGTTAAAAAGTATCCCTGGGGCCCTGGCTGGTGTGGTTCAGTCATGAGAGCATTGGCCCTTGCACTGAAGGGTCTTGGGTTTGATCCCCAGTTAAGGGCGTGTACCTGGATTGCAGGTTCGATCCCCAGCCCCAGCTGGGGCGTATGACGAAGGCAACCGATCTATTGATGTGTCTCTTTCACACCGATGTTTCTCCCCTTCCTTCCCTTTCTCTCTCTCTCTCTCTGTCTCTCTCCCCCCACCCTTCTACTCTCTCTAAAAATCAATGGAAAAATATCCTTGGGTGAGGGTTAACAAAAAATATATATATATCCCTGGTGAGGACTCTGTAGACACAAAAAGGATTCTTGACACCGGTACTCACGAGGTTTACAAATGAAGCTGGGTAAGAGCTAAGCAAGGCTGGGGGTGCGTGTGAGGGTGTGGGCTATTTGGAAGATAACGCCTGTTTTCACTCTTCAAAGCAGGAGCAGCTGTTAGATAACAGTGGGAGGCAACAAGAGCAGCAAAACTAATTCCACCTGGTGTTAAAAACATCTGGTTGTCATCACAACATTCTTTGAAAGTCACTTCCTTATGGTGACTGGGTGTAAATGGCCCATGTCAGGTTCATGTGGGGTTTTTTTGTTGTTTTTTTTGGTACGTGCCCCTAGCAGGAACCGAACCTAGGACTCTGGTCCGCAGGCTGACGCTTCAACTGCTGAGCCAAACCGGCCAGGGCTCACGTGTTTTTTTTGGACTAGTAAGGCCAGACGTTTATGAAACAAAGAACAATTCTTGACCCTACTGCATGATAAGGTCCCACGCAGCACACATGCCCATCTTCAGCAGACAATCCACGTGTCCCCTAGCTGTTCCCACACGAACGTCTCTCCTGACACACGGAGGGCACATGGTTCTGAGCACTGCTTGTGGCACAAGCTTCCTGGGCTTGAATGGGGTTCTGCCACTCGGGGCTCGGGGCCCGCCGTGCTGTGTGGGCTGCAGTGAGACTGTGTCTGCAGAGCCCCCGGGCCGCCCTGGGCACCCAGGAAACAAACAGGAGGGTTACTTCCTCCGCTTCTGAAACTAACACTCAGAGTGGAGCCCACATCATGGCCTGGACTCACTGTAGGATGGTTAATGCCTATTTTATACCAGTTTTAGGTAATGGTTAAAACGGGTGGAGACTCTGCAAGGCCTGGGCCGCGGGGCTAAGGTGCTACATTCAAAGCAAAGATGATGTGGCTGGAGCCTGCACACCTGTCCTTCACGGCCACCTGCCCAGGAGGAGCCAGGAAGACAAGTATCTGGCTTCCTGAACTCCTGGTCACAAGCCAGTCTTATCTTAGGGATGTGTTTTTGTACCTTACACAATTAATTCTCCCTGGTGTCCTGGTGCCCTCTGGTTGGGCCCGGCCATGCACAGGAAGGAGGCAGCATTCTGGGGAGAACAGCACAAGAAGGTGCATGTGGGTAGACAGAGAGCTGGAGGAGGACAGGACCCTGAACGGAGGTGTTGAAATGCCCTCAGTGCCCAGCTGCAGGAGGAAGAAAAGGTCAGGGAGACCCACAGGGCACCACACGATGTCTTCCCTCTGTACCCTGGAGGTGTATTTACCTGAATGTTGCAACTGCTGAACGGGGAGTACCCATCGAAGCCCGGGACCCAGGAGATCAGGACGCTGTGTGGGCTGCTGTTGTGGATGCTGACTTCCGTGGGTGGGGAGGGGAGGGCTACAAAACACAGACACACGAACGCGATTATAAACCAGAGGAGGCCAAGCGGCCAGATAGATACACTAATACCAAGCCTGTTTCCACTTCTCCACTTCCTTTTTCCTTCTTCTTTATTGATTTTAAAGAAAGAAGGGGGGAGGGGGAGAGGGAGAGAGGGAGAGAGAGAAATATCGATGAGAGGGAACATCGATTGGCCGCCTCCTGCATGCCCCCACTGGGGATCAGGCCTACAACCTGGGCATGTGCCCTGACTGGGAATTGAACCGACGACCTCTTGGTGCATGGGTCGATGCTCAACCACTGAGCCACACCGGCCGGGCTGAACACAAGTTTTGAAGAGGAGCCACCCTGGACCTGAGGCTGACTGTGTTAGCTGACAGACAGACCTTCCAGTGACAGGGTGGCTCTACGTGGGCCACAGGAGGGGACACAAGCCTGTTTCCCTGTCACTGGCGAAGGGAAAGCTTCTAGCTGGGAGAGGGTGTGGAGCTCATGTCCCTAGTCCTCCTGTGTGCAGGCACCTTGCTGGGCGCTAAATGGGGGAGAAGAGACAGCCCTGGCCCATGGAGCTCTTGCCTGAGTTGGGGAGACCCATGTGAGCAGAGGATAAGAACACCCCGTGTGCAGAAGAGAGGGGTACACAAGAACATGGGTGTGCACGTGTGTGTGTACATGTGTGTATGTGTGCACGAGTGTGTAGGAGTGAAGATTTTCAGGCCAAGGAATCAGGTGAGAGTCAGTTCAAGCAACAGAGCGCAGTGCATGTGCTGGGGGGGGGGGGGGCGCAGGGGGCATGGGTGTGCAATGACCTCGGCCACGCGTGACATGTGGACAGGTGTTTCGATCAGAATCTAAGACTGAAGTCTGGGGCTCTTATTCTCCTCTGCTAACTTTAATTAGGAGTAAAAATCACAGCTGTAACGAGACATGGCGACTAACGTGCTTACGAGGTGGTCCGCTGTAGGCCTCCACCTTTTATTACTATTAGAACCCGACCAGAGCCATCGTCTTACCATCCCCATTCACAGAGCAGGAAACTGAGGACCCGGGAAGTTAAAACTCGCCAAAGGTCACAGGGCAGTGGAACGGAAGCTTGAACTCTGCCTGACCCCAGAGCCCGAGTGGCCCCACAGGACACGGGAGGCCAGGCGAGGGGGCAGCCAGCGGACCAGGGTGAGCAGCAGTGGGCCCTGGGCGTCTGGTCGCCACTGGCCGGCTGCGTGGCCCTGGCACCGCTGAACGCCCTCTATAAACTGTCCCCTCTTCTATCAGTGGGGACACAGTGATGACACTGCTCCTAGGGCTGTGGTGAGGAGTAAGTGAGGTGACACACATGAAGTCTGGGGGAGGTGGGGAGGATGACAGGATGGGCAGGAGGGCTGGGCATACACTGGGTGCCGCCTTCAGGAGCTTCAGCTTTACCACCAGACACGCAGCTGGTGCGGGATGGGGGGGGCGGTTGTCTCACTCCCCTAAGTAGATTAGTTGCAGAACTGCCCTAAACGCCTGCCTTTCCAGGTCAGAATTTGGCCACAGACACTACAGTTAACAACAGACTAGAAGAAGGGAGTCTTGGTTGCTTGGACATCAATTTTTAAGTAAATAAAAGCCAAAAACCTGTTTTGGAAATAGGATTTTTTAAAAAAAAATCTTAGCTGAGTGTCTGTGTGAAGCAGAAATCAAAGAAGTACTTTGCCTTTTATGGACTTCTAAATGTTAAGATGTTTATACTTGGTGACAATGTCTTTATAAATTTGTGCCCACTCATGAATTTTTTGAAATTCCCAGCATGTCCGCTGAACGGTGCGGCTGGGCCTGGACGGAGGAAGGAAGTCAGACAGTTCCTCCCTGCGAGCTCCAGAAAGGGCCCTGGAGAGCAAACTCTGCAGCCTCACCCCTGCCTGCTCTCGGGGAGACGGGCGAGGAGCAGCTGGAGAGGGGTGAAGAGACAGTCTTTAGGATTAGGTTTTCCTTACAAGTTTCAGGTTTCAATGCCTTTGATCCCACAGAAAAAGGAGGAAGAGGCAGTGGATTGGACTGGATTGTCTCCACTAGCTGGGGGCCTTCCGTTACCCTGTGTCCCCGCGCAGACGCGGAGAAAGAGACAGGAGCACTGGGCCCGGAGGAGGGTGACCGGCCTGCTCTCCCTCGACCCCGGGCAGCAGCTGGAGCGCGCACTTACCCAGCGGCCCTGGGAAGGATGGAGCCCAGCTGCCTCACTCCAGGGGCTAAGATGGTCAAGGTAAACATTTCAGCCTATTTTCTTTTCAGACTAAGCAAAGCTAAACTGGCTAATGTTTGCCAAACTTAGGTGCCAGGCACTGTTGTGAGCGCTTTTGCCGGTGTGATCTCGTTTAAGCCTCAAGAACAGGTAGTTTCTGTAAATATCCCCATTTTACAGAGGGGCACACAAGCCAGAGAGGTCGGGTGACTTGTCCAAGGTCACAGAGGCAGTCAGTCTGGGCTCCAGCCGGGCCCACCACCCTCCGCCTCCAACTCCCAGACACGCTCGAGGGACTGGCCCCGCTTCTCACCTTTGATGTTGACCTGTATGCCCTTGGACACGGTCAGCCCCTTCTCGTTGTGGGCTTCACAGCTGAAGACTGCTGTCTCGGTCAGACCTGAAGGGAAGGAGACAGAGACCAGCTGAGAGGCTCAGCGGGCCTCCAGGGGCCTGGGCATGCTTTCACTTCTCGGTTCACGGCTTCAAGCCACAATGCCAGGTTCATTTAAAAAGTGTTCTGACATTTTGAAAAAACAAAACCCACACCTGGGATTAAACCCTAGGTACCAGGAGCAACCAGGGGCTTGAAAGGAAGCTGTTCCCCATTCAAATGCTTTCTTTTTCCGTGACGGTGAGACATTAGGTAGCCAAGCAGCATCATTTAGATTTTTAAATTTCTACAAGGAGGTGTGGGACTTGCTGGCCCCAATATCAATGAAACTCCCCAGAGAGTCCCTGTGGCTCAGCCACACGGTACTGCGTGGACACTTCCCAACCCCAGGAACAGCACGATCTGCCGTAACGAGTCCTTATTTAATAGTGAAAATCAGCCAATTCATAAGGAATTATTTTACCAACACAAGGCATTATTATTACTTGAAGATGATAGTGCTAAATCAAAAGGAATTTTACCATTTCCAAGTTATGACCACCTCTCATTCATTAATTTTAAGCAGAAAAGAAGAGAGGTAACCAAGAGGTAACCAAGGTCTAATTCCATTTTCCAATAAAGGAAACTGGGCTCCTTGGAGAAATGGCTGATTCTCAGATGGGGACAAGAAACATGTCAGATGAGCCTGGGGCAAAATATAACACAAACACAGCATCTCTCTCTCTCTCTCTCTCTCTCTCTCTCTCTCTCTCACACACACACACACACACACACACACGCACGCAGGCAGAGACACAGGAGCAACTAAAAGCACTCTCGTGGCCACAACTGGAACAATTTGAGCATGAAAATAAATGAAGTGCCACTGGATTGCAACCCAAAATCTAAAACAAATGTCCACGAGTCTATACTGATTGATAAGCAGTTAAATAAAAGGGGGAGACTCGACAAACCTCCCCAATAATCGAGGTGGGTGCTCCGCCCTCAGAAGGGAGCGTAACTCACCCCACTTAAGCGCGGGCTGCGACTTCCTTCCAAAGAGGACAGTGTGGAAAGGAAAACAAAAGCAAAACTTTAGCGTGGAGAACACGGGCCCACCCAGATGATCAAGGTCAACACCAACAGTAAGTCATGCTGATAGAATGTATCCTTGATAGGATGTGATTCAAATGGCACTTCCCCTCCGCAGTCTTCCTCCCAAAACCGATAACCCAAGTCTGCTCATGAGAAAAAACTTCACACAGGTCCAGCTGTGGGGCAGTCTCCAGACACCTGTCCACAGTCAGAGGGGAGGGGGCTGGAGGGCTGGGTGAAAACGGTGAAGGGATGAATAAAAACAAACTCACAGACACAGACAGCAGCAGGGTGATGAGCAGAAGGAAAGGAGGGTAGGGAGAGGTAGGAGAGGGTAAGGGGGATAAACGGTGATGGAAGGAGACTTGACTTGGGGTGGTGAACACACAATACAATATACGGATGATACAGAATTGTACACCTGAAACCTATATAATTTTATTAACCAGTGTCATCCCAATAAATAAAAAATAAAATTTTAAAAACCTGTCAAGGTCATTAAAAACAAAGACAGTTGGAAAAACTGTCACAGCCAAGAGCCTAGGGCGACATGGCAACTAACCCTGGACGGACCCCTGGACAGGGAAAGTGCCTAGGCAAGAACGATGGACATGTAGTCAAGTGTGGGCGTTAGTGGTACCCCTGCGGTGGCGCCCCCTCATTCACGTAGCACCCCCCCACAGAAGGGCAAGATGCCAGGAGCCAGGGAGCGTGGGGGTGGGAATTCTCTGTACCACTGCCACAATTTTTCTATAAATCTAAAACCATTCTAAAAATTAAAAAGGTTTGTTTGATTTGTGTGGCTCAGTGGTTGACCATTAACCCATACATCAAGAGGTCACTGGTTCGATTCCCCGTCAGGGAACATGCCTGGGTCGTGAACCTGATCCCCAGTGTGAGGCATGAAGGAGGCGGCCAATCGATGTTTCTCTCTCTCTAAAGTCAATTAAAAAATATTTTAAAAAATTAAAAAGGTTATTTTTTAATAGATATTATTGATTTTTTATTTTATTTTTTTTCCCTTTTTTTGATTTTAGAGACAGAGGAAGTGAGAGGGAGGGAGAGAGAGACAGAAACATCGATGAGAGAGAACGTCAATTGGCCGCCTCCTGTGTGCCCTCCACTGGGGATCGGACCCACAACCTGGGCATGTGTTCTGACCAGGAATCAAAATTGGCAACCTCTTGGTGCATGGGTAGATGCTCAACCCCTGAGCCACAATGGTCGGACTAATTTTTTTAGAGAAAGGAGAAAGAGAAACATAGATGTGAGAGAGAAACACCGATCAGCTGCCTTCTGCACACCCCCTACTGAGGATCGAGCCTGCAGCCTGGGCATGTGCCCTGAATGGGAATCGAACTGGGACCTCTCAGTCCATGGGATGACGCTCAATCCACTGAGCCACACTGGCCAGGCTAAAAAAGTCATTTTTAAAAACACACAGACATATATGCCCTCTAGTTTACTCTGGAGACTTTTCTATCTCTGTCTCCGGCACAGAGTCCACATCACGAAAGAAGGAAGACAGTCAGGCAGACAGAATTCTTGAAAATGCACCATCATTTGCTTCTTGCCTGAGAAGCTAATTTGGTTTTCTTCTATCCATATACTTGTGTAGGGAATGTTCTATCTGTTGATTTTAGAATTCAAAGCTTGTCATGAACAAAGCAGTTAAATATTTGAAAAACCAAAGAGGAACATGCTGCCAGGCATGAACCAAGAACGGCTTGGCCAAGTGGCAGGAGGACCATGTCTGGGAGCCGATCTGGGAAGAAATGCAAATCTGATCCCTGTGATGCCTGTGTGCTGTGCTTCCCGAGTGCCTCGGTGTGCAGAGAAAAATTACTGCTGGTGGGGTTCTGTTCTTCTCCATCCAGATGGAAGTCTGTCCAGGTGTCTGCGTTCTGGTCTGAGTTCTGCTGACCAGACACAGCTCCTCAAGGGGAAACAGACCTATGGCCTCTGTCCCACCACCCTGGGGTGACTGTTTACTCCCTAAAATAATGTTCTGTCAGAATCAAACAGACATTACAGGTATGTTCACTTTCCAAGATGAGGTGTATTCCATCAGACTGCAGGAAAATCCTGAATGGATGCTGAGCGAGGTTCTTCTGATGATTCCAGGTGCCAAGAAACGACGGTTCCAGGCAGGAACAGACTCTTCCCAGTCGGTCACCTCCTCTCAAGTGACGGATGAAACTGCCAACAGTTTGTGTGGTGGTTTAGGAAGCATTTACTGCACTGGAGAGAAGTATTTATTTCAAATCCATCAGCCACAGCTACAAAAGGAGACCCTGCCTCTGGAGTCTTTGTATCTTCTGCTTGATTTTCTCCCAAAGATTTGTGAAAAGTATATGTAGCCTCTCAGACATTCTGAGGTCTGCATCTTAAACTGTTCCCAATTTAAACGGCTGCAAAGACTGTAACGTTAGGTACCCGGAATAACATCCCGACATTCTAAAGGAAAACTCCTTTCAAGGGCCCGATATGCAACATGCACAGGAATGTATGACGTCATGCCCCAGGGGCTGCAGGCTGTGTGATGTCATTAGTTCTGTTAGCTGTTGGAATGTGTGCTTGTGTTAATCAAGTTTTCAGTTTTAATTTCTAATTCAGTACATATCACTAGAGAGAACTCACGTAACCAAAACTCTTGGGTTCTCAGTCATTTTGCAGAGACCCTGAGACCAAAGCATTTGCGAACTGAGGCCCCACAGCCACTCGAGATAAGTCTGAGGGGGTCTTTTTTTCTTTTGCCAAGTAAGGGAGCAGCAAATGCCAGGGAAGCAGGGGGCGGAACAGAAGACAGGACACCACATCTGGACTCGGGGCAGCTTGCCCGGCGTGGATTTTAGGAACGAAGTCATCCTGAATGAGGATGAAGACAGTGCCCCCTCTGAGCCACCCAGGCTGCCACTCACTATTTCACAGTCAGCCTGTGACACTGGCTTTCCTGCCGAAGTATCACTTTAACCTTCCAGGTCCTAAGCTCCCAAACAAGATGCTCATGTCACCAGGCTCCATGAACTTGCACAACTTGACTTATATTTAGAAAAATCAGCTTTGGTTCCATCAGAAGACACAGGAAGTGGCTATTTTGTTGTTGTATTTGAACAGACATCTGCAGGCTAAAATCAGTCATTTGAGTTGAATGTCTGTTGCCAAAACTCTAGCGGAATACTTGAGTACAAAATACAAGTCCCCTTCTGGCCGGGAGGGCAGAGCCGGCCCTCCGTAATCGGGCGCCGGGTGGGTTTCACCGAGAGGTTCCAGGGGTGCTTCGGGCCCGCGGGGTTTGTCCATGCAGGAAGTGACACGGCTTATCTCGGGGCATGACTTCAGGTTAAGCGGGAAGTCCATTTCCCTCTTTGTGTTTCTTTTCAGAGTGAACAAAGTCAGGAAAACCATCTGCAGCAAACTCCCTGGCACCAGGCGCCACCCCCTTTCAGAACCGCTCAGAAGGAGCCAAACCACCGGTGACAGCAGCTCTCAGTAGATGCCCACAGAGAGTGGAAGCTGGTCCCGACCAGTGAACTTTCTCCAAAACTGGGTGGGCACTTGAGGCCAAGCACAGTCTTCTCTGCTTACTGCATTTGGACGCAGCATCGGGTGTGCAGAGGAGACAGCCCCTCGCACTGCCCTGCCCGCCCTCTCCAGGAACAAAACCACCAGCCTGGAGCAGACCTGCAAGTTTTAAACCCAAACTCTTGTGGCTTTCTAGGGAAAAAGTGATCCAGCCCTCAGTCTCCGCCCTACCACCCACTCACCCCCCCAGTCTCCCTGAGCCGTGTCCTCTGCCTGTGCTCCCCCTTATTCCATGACACCTCACCCAACCCCAAGGGGATTCATGCCCCTCTTGCTTGGTTCTCTGCTGGTTTAAAAAAAAGACAGCCTCTGACAGAGAGTCTGAAAGGTATTTTAAGGAACATTCA